CACAAAATAGCACATACATTATCGCGAGCAATTCACCATCAATATTTCAATATTTATTATTAACGTGCAGATCGCTCCACAGCTCGTCGAACGTGGCCGTAACCAACATCTGGCCAACCAATCAGAGAACGGAAACGTGCCGATGTTATTCTTGAATCAGTTACTTGGCCCTATGAGGCAAATTTAATTGCAGGTTAGTTTGACCTGGCAGCAGATAGAGGTTGAAATCTGATTGGAAAATAAATAAAGGGCGACGCAGTGATCGACTGGTTAGCACGTCCGCCTTGCAGTGCAGAGGTGCGGAGTTCAATTCCGGCTCCACGTGCCTGCGTGGGTTTTCTCCGGGTACTGCGGTTTCCAAAAACATGCTTGGCAGGTTAATGGAACACTCGAAATTGTCGCTAGTTGTGATTGTGAGTGCGAATGGTCGTCCGTCTCTGTGTGCCCTGTGATTGGCTGGCAACCGGTTCAGGGTGTCCCCCGCCTACTACCCGAAGACAGCTGGGATTGGCTCCAGCACGCCCCACTACCCTCATGAGGATAAGCGAATAAGAAAGTGGATCAATAAATAAATAAACAAAATAGCATCCACTTACACATTCTGGAAGTGGTGCAGCCAGGAAAAATGCTATAAACTAAATGGAAACAAATGTTGAAATCAGAAAAATGCAATTTCATGCAACAGATTTTAGAAATTAGGACGTGAATGTCGGAAGGAAAACGTGTAACCCATGAGCAACCCTTCAAATGCTTTCATTCACATCCCAAGGCTCTTCTCTTTCATAAAAATGAGGCGCTCTACCTGTTCAAACAGTAGCTTTTCCTCAGCTTTTCCTCCTTTCAATCATGTCTCGCGACCACACTGCCGCTAAGACGGCCCCTCCCCGTGGCGCTCCTGTCATCTGCGCACGTTATCCCGCCTGCCAAATATAAACACAGGCATGCCGCCCTCGAATCAAAGCTGTCACAGCGCATTTACGAGAAGCTGACACTTAACTATAAATATGGAACACTTCCACTGCTTATACATCTGTCTGCGATGATGAAAAAAACACTTAGATATTGACATGCCTCTGTTGTCATCAGCGATTAAAAAGCATGTCCGACAATACTTGAATGACTTTTCCCCAATGTAAATATTTTAGCCGAAATGTCTTCATCATCCTTATCGTTCTTAAATCTACAGAAAGCGATGCATGATAAAAAGATGACAACTTGGGTTGTTCGATACCGATACCGATACTAAGTACCGATACCACTAATACTTATGATACTGTACATAAAATTTCAACTAACACAATGACAGATAATTCTGAACAAAGACCTTCCTGTCTTTTTGGTGCACAGGATGATTCACTGACGGCCGCAGTGTATGACCAATCCCTTTTTTTTTTTTTTTTTTAACTTATAACAAAGGGCCATCTAAACACATTTAAATAACCATTGTTTTTAGTCATGGATGCGCTACCCGCCTCTAACTCACTCTCCCAAGTATTAAGAAAGAATACATTTATAACAAAACATTACATCTTCAGCAGCAGTTAGTATGTTTCAAAATACTTCCCCCCCCCCTTCTAAATTCTTCCACTATCATGTTCCTGTGCAATGGATAACACAAGCCCTCCATTTGTTAGAGTGACTATTACCTAAATGTGTGATGGCATTTCCTTCCGTTTCCCAATTATAACGGCCGACCTTGACAAATGTTAGCAGCTGAGCACCATCAGCAAACACATCCACATTAGCGTATTAGCTAGCAAAACATCATCAGGCTTCGTAATGTGTTTACTGTCAAAGCCCGGTGCTCGTTTGTTTTAGTCGCCGCCGTGGGGCAACTCATTTTGGGACGTACATACATGTGATGTGGTTATTCCGTGGAAAGCTCCAGAGATTTTGTCCAAGAAGGATTCTTGTGTTTTTACTACCTGTTAGCGGCCTCCTGTTAGCAATTAGCTTGATTAACCCCACCCCTCCACCCACCCCCAAAATTTGTTTTCGCCTTCACAAATATTTGTACTCAGAATACCACCGACTTCCTGATAGTAGCTGCGTTTTCATGCGCCAGTATGCGTTTAAAGCCAACGAAAAAGTTCAAAAGAAGGCCTTCTTTTCTATAGCAAAAAGGAAAGCTGCAACTTTCACCTGTGGCGTTTCGGTAATTTACTGTCGCACGTGCAGTCCTTGAGTCCTGACGTTGTGAGTGTGTGCGCTACAGTAGCTTTTCAGACTTAAGATTTAAGCACACAAGGAAGCAATTTCTCCTCCAGAAGAGCCAGTGTGGGTCTCGCTATTACTCATGCGGTGATGAAAGCGGCCTTTGAGTTTCACTTGAAGCCATTTAGTGCATCACAGTCTTTTTTTTCCTTTTTTTTTTTTTTAAACAGTTGAATCCAGCACATAGCACCGGTGTGGATGGAAGACGAATTCTGATTAATCGCCTGGCATTGCTCTTCTGTCAAATTCAATAACATATGGAAGTAGCAGCTTTTTGCAGTTACATCTTCACTTTGCAGTGATCAAGATCCCATCTGGAAAAACCAAAGTAGTTTTTTTTTTTTTAAGGGGTGGTGGGGGGGGGGGGTATATGAAAAGTCTAAGGGGGAACAAACCAAAAAGCTTCATGAAGTTTTGTGTGCCTTAATAAATATCAGCATACATTTGTAAATTGTTCAACTCTACTCTTGTTGTCCAGAGAAAATTAAATATTTGTTTTTGGTTCCCAACTGATACAACAGCACGAAACATTCCAGATTATTTTGCAGTTTATTTTTGGTGTGTATAAATTGGTGGGGAGAGGAAGAGGAGCAGGAGCAAAGGAGATGAAGGTGGTCTTCAGGCTTTCCGAAGCGTTGCTATTCTCCTCAGTGTGAAAGTGATCCTCTGTGTGAATAGTGTTTTCATTCCTCTCCTCAATGAGATTCACAGGAGCATGAAGGCAGAGAAAGAGGGAGAGACATTGCAAAGTAAAAATAATCCCCGTCCTCTCTCTCTCTCTTTCTCTGTTTCCCCCTCTTCTTCCTGCCTTTAGTGAAGGATAATACGTGCTGGGATAAACAACTTTTATCAGAGTGAAGTAAATTTAAACAGACTGTTTTATTTAATTCCTCATTGCAGAAGCATCTTCCCAGCAATATTTCAAGATGGAGGGAAAAAAAAAGAAAGAAAGAAAGAAAGAGCGCAATGCAAATGAAACGCTTGCTTCTTGATTAGATTACTAACGCAATAATTGTCACGTTTGATTTATGGCTGTAATCTGTCACCATAAACGGCGGGAGGACTCGGCGTGGCATGTCTAGGCTGGGAGCACACAAATTTGCATTACGTATAAAATTGCGTTAGGGGATGAGATTGTTGAGAACACAGTGTTTATGCAATCAAGCAAAGCATCCCAGGTAATTCGGGAAATGGGAGGACGCAGCAGTCTCATGTTTTAGTCATATTATTTATTGGACAGCCAGTTCTGTTATTTTCTTCTTATTAACAAAGAAAGATCAAAGTTATATCTGTCGACTTTCCAGCAGGGGTGCGGCTTATCAATCCGATTGCGCATCAATTTTCAGTGGGGGAGGGAGTGAAATAATAATAGGTTTGTTTGCTTGAAATCTTTAATGTCTTCAACTTTGGACACATTTTCTCCACGATGACCTCTTTAATTCTTTAATTCAACCAAAAAGCTTCATGAAGTTTTGTGTGCCTGAGGAAATATCAGTGTACCTTTGGAAATTGTTCAACTCTACTCTTGTTGTCCAGAAACAATTAAATATTTGGTTTTGGTTCCCAACTGATACAACAGCACGAAACATTGACAGAAAACAGTCAAAGGAGAACTTCCAACTTTTATCATCCCTGCCAAAATCTCACATCTCTTTTAACCCACCAGGTGTAGATTTACTGGTAATTTTTTTTTTTTTTGCACTGGATAAATTTCCCGAATGAAAATTTGGCAACTCAAATCAGGGAATACTTAAAGCGCTCCTTTTGTTTCAACATGTTTCAAAACTAGTTGAGAAATAAACCTAATAATTCTTTTGTTAATGAAAAGGAAAATATTGGACCTGGTTTTACAAAGTACCTCGTAGAAACCTAATTTTTAGAAAATGGCACCTTCAGAAAGAGTCAGGGAAACTTCCCCAGAGGCACTGCGGTGAGTTCTCTCTCAGTGATGCGAATCTAGTCAGACCTGAGAACGTGGCGCTTGTAGTGTCTTGTTCTTCCCCCCACCCTACTCCCTATCTTCTCCTCTTGTTTCCATCTTCCCCCCAGGCCGTTGTATTGGCTGAATCAGACCCAAAAACAAGGTGCTTAAGCTCAAAGCACTCTTTTTTTGCTAGTCCTAATCGTAAGAAGACCAAACTAATTCGAGCAATCAAGTGAGTGGGTTCGCTCTGTTTTTCCCATAACTTGTAAAAACGGATTTTTAAACCTTTTCTGGTATAATATGAGTGTCAGTGTAATGGATGCCAGCCCGTGCTGTGCAAATGTACATTCATTAACCCGCACAACTCTTTAAAAGATTATGCTAGCAGCTAGCCTCTTTTAGCCAAATGGTCTTTGAGCTTGACTTTTGACTGGTGAGACAGCGGCGACGTGTTTCCAAAGCCCAAGTGTGGGTGGACAGCGCAAGGAAAGCGATCGTATGGAGCATATTGCAAAGAAAGAAGCATGTTTGTCGGATGACTCATCCAGGAAGTAGGAGAGGATGCACTTTCGCATATGGAGGTCTAGATTCTCCTTGAGGGCAGGTTAATCTGCCGTGGCGTTTCGAGAAAGATCCGCTCCGCCTGACATCAATCTATGACACACGTCACCTTCCAAAGCCACTTATAGCTCTTCACTTTGAAATATGGCTCTCGAGTCACCGAAAATTCATACATATTGGATCCATTCACAGAATGCACATATGTGTATGGTGCTGCCTTTCGATTCTGAAAGTCTTACTTTTAGCTTTGCTGCCTCCTTCCTCGATTTCCTCATCTTAATCTCCGCTCGTTTTCCTGCAGGCTGAGCTACATCTGCACCAGAGAACCAGCAGCAGCAGGAGCAGCAGCAGCAGTAGAGTTGTGCGACCATGAGGTCAGAGGCCTTCCTCCTCTACTTCATGCTACTGCACATAGCTGGAGCGGGCTTCCCCGAAGACAGTGAGCCTATAAGCATCTCCCACGGCAACTGTGAGTAGGATACCGCACATTTTCTTCTTCTTTTTGGTTGTACGTCTCCTCTCTACAAGTCCTGGTCAACATATTCATTCCTGCTTATTTATTATCTGAGTGGTTGGCACGGCGACCTCACAGTCGAGTGGTTCTGGGTTCCAATTTCAACCCAGGCATTCCTGTGGGGAGTTTGCATGAGGTTCCCTTGCTGATCATGGTCATCCTTATTATTATTTTGATTTAGGTTGTTGAAGTACTCTTTTAGAAGATTTGTACTATTTTTCTTTCATTTCTTGTCAATGTTTTTCCCTACAAAATAGACTGTTTATCTATCTATCTAACTATCTATCCAATCAGAAAAATATCGTAACCATTTTTGCGGCTACCTTAACTGATGGTACACTACTACTGTAAGACACTATCTATCCAATCAGAAAAATATTGTAACGATTTTTGCAGCTACCTTAACTGATGGTACACTACTACTGTAAGACCAGATTTATGATTTAAGATGGGAATGATGGCATGTGAAACCAATGCATGAGGATCCAAAGCATAACACATCATGTGTCAATCAGAGTGGACGTGTCCACCTAAAATGTCTGTCATACCTGAATGTTATATTCCACGGTTCATGAATTAATATTGAAAATCCACACTCCAGTCACATGTTGATGTCTTTTCAATACATTGTGAATATAAAAAATGAAATGTAGAAAAACATTTCAAAGACATCATTTGAGGCCACGTGTGTGCCCAACCCATATGAAAGAGCCCAATCTGCTTTTTTCCCCCCTGCTTTGTGAAACAAAGAGGAAGTCCACAGAGAAATGCTCAAAGTTGTCTCGCCCACTAAGAGTAGCCTGACATTGAACTGCTTCTGTTTAGCCAAACAAGCGCTTTTATCCCAAGCCACTAACAACAGAACAATTTCATAGTACAGTGCACTGCACTTTTTTTTTGCCGTATAATTTAAGGCCGCAACAAGCGCTCAGGCAGCAGATGTGTTGACATTTGATCCAAATCCCAACATACGCCGAACAGAAACTTCAGCAATCATGTCGTCAAAGCGTTTTAGCTGTGGGATTTTTTATTTTTTTTGTCCTCCTCGCAGACACAAAGCAGTACCCGGCCTTTGTTGGCCACAAGCCTGGCAGAAACAGCACACAGCGGCACAAACTGGACATCCAACTCATCATGATCATGAACAAGACTTTATTCATCGCCGCAAGGTAAGCTAACAAATGTTGTTGCAGCCGCAATGATTCTCGGTGATTGTTGTGAGCTTGACACTGATGGCCGGGCAGGTGTCTTAGAAGTGGTAGATATCTATAGCTTTATGAATCACAAGGGATCCATCGCAGCTTGGACTCGAAACATTTTATTACCGCCTGTATTTGTGCCTGGCAGGAGGTATGTTTGTTTTTTTATGATGGCATAATGAAAAATACAGGGAGTCCTTGGTTCCGCTCCTACGACAAATTTATCACCTGAAAAAAAACACCTCAAATAATTTTTCTGTCCATGTTTTTTTTTTAAGAAATATACGCTCGAGAGTATTATACTGTTTGAAAACACACATTTCATCGAATGGAAGTTGGCAAACAATCATAATGGCACATTACTGCCACCAACTTAATGCCCTCCCACTGCAGGCGGATGTTGTGATGTGTTCTTTTGCTATCTGGCGGCCGTCCTCTGAAGCGCGTTCGCATCTTAAATTTTGCTCTTCTCCCAAGACAAAAAGAAATTGGTGAAACGATGACTCATTTATCATTAAGCTCATAATTACACTCATATCCCGAGACACTTTTGTACTTGAATATAAGCTATTCAAAAGTCATTTTTCATTCTGTCGCCTTTAAATACATTAAATGTAGGCTCACAGGTGCTGCATCATTTTTATGTAAGTAAAAGCGATTTGTCATCAAAACTTTGCCTTCTTTGGGTCCCTGAATTGCTTGACAGCCATCAGCCATTTTCCTTTACTGCCCTCTACAGGGCTGGAGTGGAACCATATTCACCCCAAACATTTAAGCATTCCAAATTTGCAACAAAATCAACTCAGGTTTATTTGTGTCGGCCGCCAAAGTCAAAACACCATTTGGGGTAAAAGAAGAAACCTTGAGAAGGGATAGCGCAATCCCTCTTCCAGGATAACAAGGCTTCAATAAATGCTGTGCAGAGGCAAGTTGTTTTTCTCTCACACACAAAATAAAGACTATCACAATCCAGTATTTCTGGTCGTCCTTGGAGGAGGTCTCACTGTTTCCTGTTTTGAGAGCTAGCTGCCAGCCAATCTTCTTTTATGTTAACCTTCCACCCAAAAGACATACAGAAACACGATAAAGTCTTTCCTGGAGACTTGAATGTCCTTACAAATGTCACACACTTTTTGTATCTCTGCCTGTCAATGCCCTCACCTGAAGGGCTTTTATTCCCATACAAACACAGCTCAGTGACACGGCAGGGGTCGCACACAGTACGCTGTCATTGATTTTCCTCATCGCTCTTATTTGTGACCATTTAAGAAACGTTGCTCCGCCTCGTGACACAATGAGCAATTAGAGGAGCAGCAAGTGTGCCGTTATTAGCATATGCAATTTTCGAATGCGCTTGCTGCTATCAAGGCAGAACGTTAAAAGGTCTCTGCAATTGTTATCGGCTCAATCTGAGCCCCCCCTTTGGGTAGACGGGTTCAAGCCTGACTGGGTGAAATGACACAATGGAGGGGGTGGTCTTTGTTTTGCTCCCAAGCATGTCAAATTAAGTGGCTGAAGGAGACTGTTGCTTTTGAACATATCTGTCGTCATTAGGGACAACTGTGTGTGTGTGTGTGTGTGTGTGTGTGTGTGTGTGTGTGTGTGTGTGTGTGTGTGTGTGTGTGTGTGTGTGTGTGTGTGTGTGTGTGTGCGCGGGCGCTTGTGTCTGTATGTGTGGGGAAGGGCGCCAGAGACTGTGGTGCGACTGTCGCCCACCTGCTCCGCACGGGGTGGCAGCCAGCAGTTTTAGGGGCACACAGAGGGAGGGAATTGGTAGACAGAGGGTTTATTTGAGGGGTGTGTTTGTTGGCCTGCGTGTGCATGTTATCGTGTGTTTGTGTGTCTGCGTCTTGCCCACTTTATTACACTAACCAGTTGTCAAACAGATCAAGCGGGGGTTTGTCTTCTGTGTGTTGAATGAACAGAGCCGTTGAAATTTTTTTTTTTTTTTTGATACGGAAGTAAATGGAATTGTGGCCATCATGAGATGTTTGCAAACTGTACATCACATGAGAACAAAGTCCTGATTACAGTAAAAATGTGTATTAAAAAACCATAAGCTTATGTCAGCTGACTTTGGGTGGACGACACCCTGAACCGGTCGGCAGCAGCGCACATGTAGGGACAAACAACCATGACTCAAAAGACACACTCTATTTTTTTGCGTCTAAATGTTTTTTGGAAATGCCTTTTCACACTGCACTTAGCAACTTGCATTGAATGTGTTTGTGCTACGAGGGCTAAAGAATAGAACACCACATCGCATCTTGAATTGAAAACATTTTCAATTCGTTACAATCAGAAGGCAGATCTAATAGAAGAGAGGCTGGCAGAGTGATTTCAGAGTGCTAACATTATTAGACCAACCAACGGGTAAAGCCTCCCAGTTACTTCGCAAGCTCTTCCAAGTCCGGGCAAGGTGGCACCAGGCCATTGTTGTCCTGGTGCGCTGCCCTGCGGCAAACACCAAGAATACCAAGTTGCAATTTGAAAAGGCCTGAACACATTTTATGACCTTCGGTGCTAAGAAATTGCTGAAAAATGTGTTTGTGCTTAGCATACTTAGTCACAGCAAAAGTATGTCACCCCTCGGAATAAGTGGTATGTCTTTCGTGAGATTAGAGCGAGCCGAATGACCTGCCATCGATTCCCTGTGCCGAAAATTAGTGTTGTTGATAGTACGGACTAGATTGCAACAGGATATCGGCAACGGTGGAGTGATGACAAGTTAAAGAAGACAATCAATTTGAAAGTGCTCTGCCAGCAAAGCAGTGTATTAAAGAGTCACTTTTATGCAGTCAGATGACTTGTTTATTCTGGAGCCAGCTTTGCCATCATGCCTCCAGTCAGTCGTTGGTGTGCTGCAGTTTGCAGATGGCCTCTGTGAACGCCATCCAAAGCCCCCAACATTCAGCTCAGGCTGTTTCTTCTTTAATGGCTGCACACACCATTGAGTCCCTTTGGCTTCCGTTTTGATGCTGGCAATGAATTAACAAGATCGCTAATACGAATCGAGCTACTGATGAAATTGTAAATAGACAAAATGGCTTATGCACGGAGGGAAAGAGTCTTTAGCCAAACTGAGCAACAGATGAGCTGATTGATATGAATAAATCGGGTTTTGTGTGTTTGAATGAAACGTGTTGATTTGAGGAGAACGAACGCGCCGTTCACTCGGCCTGCCTCATGTGTGCCCGAAAGCATGCGCATTACTAAGCTCCCGTTCGGTAGCTCATATCACTTTCACCAATACGTATGAAAATGTCATTAGCCCCGTCAGCTTTTAAATCACGATTACGTATTCAGGTCAGGAATCATTTATAGCCTTAATATTCGGAATCACAGTCAGTGCCACAGGAAGGAAGAAGTCGAGCTTGATGAGATGCAAGGCTGGGGTTGTTCATGACGCAGCCTGCCAGCAAGCTCTTCCTTCAGTCTTTATTTGCGTTCAGCCTAGTGAGGATAAGCGGTGTAGAAAAATGGATGCATTCTGCTTTAAAAGCCAAGCAATTCACGAAACAGATGTGTTTGTTTCGAGAGCCAAACTAATTATCTTTGCTGTATACCGTCCTTATAAACGAGGGCAATGAACGTGAATAAGGAGTCGGGCTCCTAGTTCAAAATTCAGAAAATTATGCAAACAAAATTTGAATTTTACTGACAGAAGTCCTGATATTAAGAGGAAAAACGTTAAGATTTCTGGAAGTAACGATCAGCAGAAAAAAAAAAAGCTGAATTTTACTTGACGTAACGTAAAATTACAAGCAAAAACATGCTCAGGACATGTTCAATTTTCATACAATATTCAGAAGGAATAAGTTAATACGAATTGAAACAGTTTGAAATTGTGAAAAATATTGTCACATTTTTCGATTGAGGTTTTATAAAGTGCTTGTATTAATTCGTTTTTTACGATTGACTTAGCGACGTGCACTCACATCTGGGAAAGGAGAGCCACAGTCGCCAATCCACTTCTGTTGTTTTTTTTGTTTTTGTTTTTTGCCATACTCGATAAAATAAAAACACAACACCGTTCGCACACTCACCCAGGAGCTGCTGTCGACAACAGCTCACACCCAGGACGCTCACAACAGGCCCCGCCTCTTAAATACACGTACCTGTTCACAGTCATCTTATCTTTGCCGGTGAGAAACGGGGGCTATTTCTACATTAGCAAGACCTTCTGTCTACTGAGCGTTAATTACAACGGAACATGATTGCATTTAAGATGATGCCGGAGGTCCGTCGGATGCGATGGGCGTACCTAATGTTATGGCTGGCGAGTGTATGCGCCCTGTCGCAGGTGCTTTAGCAATGCGCCGTAATTTAGCGGTAAACTGCTCTTGATGCAAGATTCCTCTCTCCCCGGTGCACCATATTTCATGTTCAAGGTACACGCTGCATGACATTCAGAGGCAATTCATCACGGGGCTGCAGGAGATTTATCGTTTACTTTGCTTGGATGTGCACCTGTATGCGCCTGCGTGTGCGTGCGTGCGTGTGTGTGTGTGTGTGTGTTTGTATCTCTGGGGTGCATGCAGCCAACCTCTTTTAAATCAACTACTCTGATTGTAATCCATTTATCATGTTTCAGTCCTACGTTTTTTTTTTTTTTAAGTCAGATCAGTGCAGACGCTCATGGTGGTGTGTGTTCTTGGACATCTTTATGAACTCCTTTCCATATTTAGAACTATTCACGCACAATAATAGAGTGCACAAAGGTCAAAGTTGAAACAGGAGGAGAGTTTGTTAGCTAACAGGGGATCTAAACGCTTGGAGGGGAATTTACTTGAACGTATGTATACCTTTTCAATGTCCTTTTCACAAGTTGTACTTTTCCGGATTAAAAGGAGCATGCGGATGATATCAGTGCAGCATTTACTACGTTTCATTTTGTCAAGTGGTTCCATGAAATAAAATGATCTGAATCCATCAATATTATACTTCATTTCTGTATTTTAATATTGATC